CCTTTATCCCCCATCTCAAGGATGAGGTCAGTGAGGCTGAGCAAAGTGACTTCCCAAAGACCACACAGCAAGCAGAGAGCGTGGAGTCAGAAGGGGCTGCTGGAGTGGGCTTTTTACCACTACACCCTGCAGTGATGAAGATTCCACCTGCAATTCAGAGTACAGACCTACCCAAGAAGGAGGACTCATTCCACAGATACCCCCAGAGCAAGGTCCTCTGAGGCTCTGGATTCTAATGGTAAAAAGTTACTGTTAGAATGGAAACAACCTCAGACAGCACTTGGTCCCATGGGTCCTTCACCCTGTCTACACACATGTTGGCATTGCTTCAATATATAGTGTAAATATTGCTAAGCCTTAACCTGACCTAGTGCATAGGGACCTTGGGGGATGGGGCCTAGCCATCTGTATTTCTCAGTAACATCCCAGGCGATTCTTTCTTTTTCTTTCTTTTTTTAAGATGGAGTCTCACTCTGTCACCCAGATTGGAGTGCCTGCAGTGCAGTGGTGCGATCTTGGCTCACTGCAACCTCTGCCTCCTGGGCTCCAGCGATTCTCCTGCCTTAGCCTCCTGAGTAGCTGGGGTTACAGATGTGTGCAACCATGCCTGGTTAATTTTTGTATTTTTAGTAGAGACAGGGTTTCACCATATTGGTCAGGCTGGTTTTGAACTAACATCGTGATCCTCCCGCCTTGGTCTCCCAAAGTGCTTGAATTACAGACATGAGCCACTGTGCCCGGCCAAGGTGATTCTTTATAGAAATATTTTTAGGGGGACGATCCAAGATGGCCGATCGCTAACATCCCGGGATTGCAGCTCTCAGGGAAGGCGCTGAGAACTAGAGGACGCCACACTTTCAGACAAATTCTGGTCGCTCACGGAGCAGGAGATCCCCCAGTGGAGGAAACACACGGGTGGCCAGCGCGACTCTCGTGGCCGGTGCAGCGGTTCCGCCGGCACCTTGGCGCGGCAGCTCTCGGAGCAAAGTAAACAGGTTCGGAGGACCGGCCCGGGTCCCCAGCAGGACACCAGAGCCCGGCAGCGGCTGTGACGGCACCTCGGCGCGGGAGCGCTCAGCGCAGAGTGAACAGGACCGGTTCCCCTTCTGACCGAGGTTTGGAGCCCCGGGAAGGCAGAGTCGCCTACTACCGACACAAGAAGGAAGCCCGACAGGAGAATCCTGGGCAGAAAAGCACCATCAGTTTTAACGCCGCTGCTCTGGCCCTGGGAACTAACAACCTGGACGTCCACTCAAGAGACCTAATCTGAAAGTTGGTAATTTCAAAGAGACAGGTGGATAAATTTACAATGACGGGAAGAAACCAGCGTAAAAAAGCTGAGAATACTCAAAATCAGAACGCCTCTCCCTCTAAAGATGATCACAGTTCCACATCAACAAAGGAACAAGGCTTGATGGAGAACAAGCGCATCCCAATGACAGAATCACTCTTCAAGGAATGGATAATAAGAAACTTCGGTGAGTTAAAAGACCATGTTGTAGCCCAACGTAAAGAAACTAGGAACTTTGACAAAAGGTTTGATGAAATCCTATCGAGAATAGACAACTTAGAGAGGAGTATGAGTGAATTAATGGAACTAAAGAATACAATACAGGAACTCCGAGAAGTATGCACAGGTTTAAACACTCGAATTGTTCAAGCAGAGTAAGGGATATCAGAGGTCAAAGTCCAACTTAATGAAATAAAACATGAAGAAAAGATTAGAGAAAAAAGGATAAAAAGGAATGAGCAAAGTCTCCAAGAAATGTGGGACTATGTGAAAAGACCAAATTTACGTTTGATAGGTGTACCTGAATGCAAGGGAGAGAATGAATCCAAGCTGGAAAATACCCTTCAGGACATCATTCAGGAAAATTTTCCTAAACTAGCAAAGCAGGTCAACATTCAACCCCAGGTAATACAGAGAACACCACAAAGATATTCCTCAAGAAGAGCAACCCCAAGGCACATAATCGTTAGATTCACCAGGGTTGAAACGAAGGAGAAAATACTAAGGGCAGCCAGAGAGAAAGGTCATGTTACCCACAAAGGCAAGCTTATCAGACTTACAGCAGATCTCTCAGCAGAAACTCTACAAGCCAGAAGAGAGTGGGGCCAATATTCAACATTCTCAAAGAACAGAACCTTCAGCCCAGAATTTCATATCCAGCCAAACTAAGCTTCACAACTGAAGGAAAAATAAAATCTTTTATGAACAAACAAGAACTCAGAGATTTTATTACCACCAGGCCTGCTTTACAAGAGCTTCTGAAAGAAGCATTACACACAGAAAGAAACAACCAGTATTAGCCTTTCTAAAAATACACCAAAAAGTAAAGAGCACCAACATAAAGAAGAATTTACACCAACGAATGGATAAAACAGCCAGTCAACATCAAATGGCAGTAACCCTAAATTTAAATTGACTAAATTCCCAATCAAAAGACACAGCCAAAACCCAAAGGCATTTTACATCCAGACCAGTTTCACATGCAAGGATACACAAAGACTCAAAACAAAGGGATGGAGAAAGATTTACCAACCAAATGGAGAGCAAAAATAAATAATAAATAAATAAAAAGCAGGAGTTGCAATTCTCGTATCGGAGAAAATAGATTTTAAAGCAACAAAGATATAGTGGTAAAAGGATCAATGCAACAACAAGAGCTAACGATCCTAACACCCAGATACATAAAGACTTAGACTCAATGAGACAGAAAATTAATAAGGATATCAAGGACTCGAACTCAGATCCGGAACAAGTAAATTTAATAAATATTCATAGAGCTCTCCACTTCAAATACACAAAATATACATTCTTGTCAATACCACATCACACCTACCCATAAGTTTAAATGAAACATTGATTGGCCATTATTAATACTCAATTTTTTTCAAAATAAAGCAATATTTCCATTTACTCTCCCTCTTTCTCTTCCTCTTTCTTCCTCTCCTTTACTTATTTTTTTTTCTTTCCTTCTCTCAAAAAAAAAGAAATCAACTTGTAAACCTCTAGATCCAGGTCGGCAATGTCTCTCTCATTGCTTGATTTCCTTCCTTCCCTTCCCTTCCTCCCTCCCTCCCTCCCCGCCTCCTCCCTTCCTTCCTTCCTTCCTCCCTACCGTCCTTCTTCCCTCCCTTCCTGCCTTCCTTCCCCCCCCCAAAAAAAAAGAAATATTTTTAACTAAAATTGTACATATTTGAGCTGTATAGTATGATGTGTGTATGTATAGCAAGTTGATTATTACAGTCAAGCTAATTAGCATATTCATCTCCACACAGTTACCTTTTCTTATATGTGTAAGAAAACACTTATGATCTACTCTCTACAAAGTCCTAATCAATGCATTTAGGCAAGAGAAAGAAAGGAAAGGCATTCAAGTTGGAAAAGTGGAAGTTAAAGTGTTGCTCTTTGCAGATGACATGATTTTATGTAAACACCTAACGACTCCACCAAAAAATTGTTTAGCGTTGATAAACAAATTCAGTCAAGTTGTAAGATATAAAATCAACATATAAAAACCAGTAGTTTTTCTGTATACCTATAACCAACTAGCCAAAAAAGAAATAGAAAAAGTAATCTTGGCTTGGCACAGTGGCTCATGCCTGTCGTCCCAACATTTCAGGAGGCTAAGGCAGGAGGACTGCTTGAGTCCAGGATTTTGAGACCAGCCTGGACAAATAGGGAGAACCTGTTTGTACAAAACATATAAAAATCAGCCAGGTGTGGTGATGTCCATCTGGTCCCAGCTACTCAGGAGGCTGAGGTGGGAGGATCGGTTGAGCCCAGGAGGTCAAGGCTGCAGTGAGCTTTGATCGTGCCAATGCACTCCAGCCTGGGCAACAGAGTGAGACCCTATCTCAAACAATTGTTACAAAAATCAATAAAATACCTAGGAATAAATTTAATAAGAGAGGATATTTTTTAACCAAGAAAGATCTTTACAATTAAAAGTATTAAAAACGGATGAAAGAAATAGACTAGGCCAGGTGTGGTGGTTCCCATCTATAATCCCAGCACTTTGGGAACTAAGGTGGGCAGATCATAAGGTCAGGAGTTCAAGACCAGCCATTTCGAGACCAGCCTGGCCAACATGGTGAAACCCCGTATCTACTAAAAATACAAAAATTATCCAGGTGTGGTGCCATGTGCCTGTAATCCTAGCTCCTCAGGAGGCTGAGGCAGGAGAATTGCTTGAACCCAGGAGGCAGAGGTTGCAGTGAGCTGAGATTGCACCATGGCACTCCAGCATGGGTGACAGAACAAGACTCTGTCTCTGAAAAAATGAATGAATGAATGAATGAAATAGAAGAGGACACACACACAAAATGGAACAATGTTCCATGTTCATGGACTGGAAGAATTAATATTGTTAAAATGACCATACTACCCAAAGTGCTCTACAGATTCCAAGCAGCCCCCATCAAAAGACCAACGATACTCTTCACAGAAATATAATAGAAAAGATAATCTTAAAGTTCATGCAGAGTCACAAAAGACCCCAAATAACCAAAGCAATTCTGAGCAAAAAGAGCAAAGCTGAAATCATCACACTACCTGACTCCAAAGATACTACAAAGCTAAAGCAACCAAAATAGCATGGCACTAATATAAAAACAGACAGACAGACAAATGTAACAGAATAGAGAACCCAGAAATAAGTCCCCATATTTATAGCTAGCTGATTTTCAACAAAGATGCCAAGAACTACATTGGGAAGAAGACAGCGTTTTCAATAACTGGTGCTGAAAATCCTGAATAACCATAAGCAGAAGAATGAAACTAGATCCTATCTCTCACTATAAACACAATCAACTCAAAATAAAGACTAAAATATAGATTCAAAACTATAAAACTACTAGAAGAAAACAGGGTAAATCCTTCACGACATTGGTCTGGGCAAAGATTTTGCAGGTAAGACTTCTAAAACACAGGAAACAAGAGCAAAAATAGACAAATGGGATTTTAAAAAAGTAGAGACAGCGTCTCACTATGTTACCCAGCCTTATCTTGAACTCCTGGCCTCAAGCAATCCTCCTGCCTTGACCTCCCGATGACAAATGGAATTTTATCAAGCTAAAAGCTTCTGCACAGCAAAGGAAACAATCGACGGAGTGATGAGGCAACCTGCAGAAGAGGAGAAAGTACGTGCTAACTGTTCATCCGAATACACGAGGAACTCAAAAAGCTCAGTGGTAAAAGAAAATAATAATGTTTTTAAGAAATGAGCAAAGGATCTGAAATGATATTTCTCAAAAGACAACATACAGCCAGGCACAGTGGCTCACATCTATAATCCCAGCACTTTGGAAGGCCAAGGTGGATGAATCACTTGAGATCAGGTGTTTGAGACTCTGGCTAACATTGGGAAAGCACCTCTCTACCAAAAATACAAAAGTTAGCAGGGCGTGGTGGTATACACCTATAATTTCAGCTACTTGGAAGGCTGAGGCACGAGAATCACCTGAACCCGGGAGGCAGAGGTTGCAGTAAGCAGAGATTGCACCACTGCACTCCAGCCTGGGTGACAGAGTGAAACTCTATCTCAAAAACACAAAGAAGACATATAAATGGCCAACAGGTATATGAAAATACGTTCAACATCACTAATCATAAGGGAAATACAGATCAAAACTACAATGAGATAGCATCGCACCCAGTTAGAATGGCTATTATCAAAAAGACAAAAAATAACAAATGCTGGTAAGGATCTTGAGAAAAGAGAACTCCTATACATCGTTGGCAGGAATGTAAATTAGTATAACTGTTGTGGAGAACTGTGTGGAGATTCCTCAAAAACCTGCAAATAGAACTACCATATAATCTAGCAATCCCACTACTGGGGATTTCTCCAAAGGAAATGAAATCATTATGTTGAAGAGATATCTGCATGTCCACATCTGATTGCAGCACTACTCGCAACAGCCAAAAGAGGCAATCAACCAACCCAAGTGCCTATCGACAGACGGAGTGCTCTTTAGCCACGAAAAAGAATGAAATCTTGTCATTCACAGCAACGTGGATGAACCTGGAAGACGTTATGTTCAGTGAATTAAGTATGGCACAGAAAGAGAAACACTGTATTTTTTCACCCAAAAATGGGAGCAAAAAAGTTGAGCTTACAGAAGTAGAGAGAATTGTGGTTATTAGAGGCTGGGAAGGACAGGGTGGAAGGGGGATGGAGCAAGGTTGATTAATGGATACAAAATTAAAGCTAGATAGGAGGAATAAGTGCTAATGTTTTGTAGCCCTGTAGGGCAACTAGAGTCAATAACTTACTGTATATTTTTAAATAGGTAGAAGAGAGGATTTTGAACGTCCCCAACAAAAAAAGAAATAATAAGTGCTTTCCATGATGAATACGGTGATTACTCTGATTTATTACGCAGAGTACACATATATTCAAATATCACTCTGTACCCCATAAATATGTACAATTATTATATGTCAATTTAAAAAATTACTAAAATATTAAAAAAATGACTGTCTTAGCCAGTCTGAGGTGTGTAATACAGTATGCCTAGGGACAGTCATCATGATGTACTTGAGATCTCCGGGACTTATTTGTTATATATAAATAAAACTGTGTTCTCTTTGACCAACATCTCCCCATTCCTCCACCCTCCTAACATCTCAGGTGATTCTGGTAACCACCCAGTGAGGCTGAAGAATGGCTGGCTTGGCCCTCAACTCACTGTGAGAAATGAATTGAGAGAGACTCACTACTTGGTAAGGTCTTCCCGCTGGGAACCAGGTCTCCCAGTTCCCAGGCTGCAGACCTCCCTTCCAGGGCAGAGCTCGGCAAACATTCGGTGCTGTGATGGATCTCGGGGAGTGATGCGTTTCAAAGGCAGGCCCTCCTGGGTGTCTCTGTCTCTTATTTCAGAGCAGAGTTGTGGTTTCAGTTTGTTTCTGGTCGTTACCCAAGGCCCTTACTGGGAAATGGGTGCTTGGGTAGACAGAGAAACACGGTGGTTTTAATCATTCAGAGTTCAGAAAATGTGGGGGAACTCTGGCCCTTCAAACTCCAGCCACGAGGCCTCTAAACCCTGAATACAGTAGCGGGGAACCCCCGCTCCTCCTGCCGGGTACAGCTCTTCTCTGGCAAGTCTCCCCAGCTCAAGTCACACTGTAGCAGGACTTTTCCTCCCTGGCTAAACACATCGAATAAAACACAAAGGGAAAACCCAGCTGAATATTTCCTGAGCAAGGTTACAAAATGACTGTTACATCCTTTTAGAAGAACAGTAGGAGAAAAAGGTCTCAGGGACCCAAAATCAGACATGAACACAGCACCAGGCAGCCAGGGTTAGGCAGAGAAACACCTGACCCTGAGAGTCTCCTGCGGATCACGACGTGAGCTCCAAGGCTCTGAGAACAGGAGCTTATGGACAGGAAAGCTCAGCAATATACTGTCCAAGCAACAACAATAACAACAAAAACAACACAGGGGCCAGGCCTGGTGGCTCACCCCTGTAATCCCAGCACTTTGGGAGGCCAAGGTGGGCAGATTGCCTGAGGTCAGGAGCTTGAAACCACCCTGGGCAACATGGTGAAACCCCGTCTCTACTAAAATAAAAAAAAAAAATTGGCCAGATGTGGTGACATGTGCCTGTAATCCCAGCCACTTGGGAGGCTGAGGTGGGAGAATTGCTTGAGCCCAGGAGGCAGAGGCTGCAGCAAGCCGAGATGGCACCATGCACTCCAGTTTTTTTGTTTTGTTTTTGAAACTCCATCTCAAAAAAAAAAAAAGCCCAGATTTTCCCTGTAATGCAGGGAAATCTCACCTGGATGCAGAGCCTCACTCATAAATTAATTTGTGTGTATGGTAAAAGGTAAGTAATAAGGAGACTGCTTAGGCATACTAAATTAAGGGAATATAAAAACTCCAAAGCTTATATGCAAATTTTCTACGAAAATGTGCTCCTATGGTTACAGCTCAGTTGTACATGGAGGAAAAACAGAGAAATTAAAATAGTTGCAGTGGGCTGGGTGTGGTGGCTCACGCCTGTAATCCCAGCATTTTGGGAGGCCGAGGTGGATGGATCACTTGAGCTCAGGAGTTTGAGACCAGCCTGGGCCACATACAAGACTATTTCCTCTTCTTCTTTTTTTCTTTTCTTTTTTTTTTTTTTTTTTTTTTGAGACAGAATCTTGCTCTATCTTGGCTCACTGCAACCCCCGCCTTCTGGGTTCAAGCAATTTTGCCTCAGCCTCCCGAGTAGCTGGGATTACAGATGCCTGCCACCACACCCAGCTAATTTTTGTATTTATTAGTAGAGCTGGGGTTTCACCATGTTGGTCAGGCTGGGTCTTGAACTCCTGACCTCAGAAGATCCACCTTACTCGGCCTGCCAAAGTCAATGCTTTGGGATTACAGGCATGAGCCACTGCACCCAGACAACACTCCTATCTCTACCAAAAATTTAAAAAAAGAACCTGGCATGGTGTCATGCACCTGTAGTCCCAGCTACCCAGGGGGGTTAGGTGGTCCAGGAGTTCAAAGCTCGTGAGCTATGACTGTGCCATTGCACTCCAGCCTGGGCGACAGAATGAGAGACCCTGTCTCCAAAAACAAACAAAAACAGTGGTTGTAGAGAGGAAATTAAATGTTTCCTTTTAATGTTGGCTTGATTTCAATGATAAATACTTGTAAAGACTCACTTTGGCTGCCTCTTTAAATATATTAGACCCAAGCCTGAAAAGAATGAGAAGGCTATGACCTACTTCCAGCCCCCAAGAACTGCCATTCCCCATGCAACCACCTTGGGGACAGGGCAGTCGGAATCCTGAATCCTGGGTTTCATCTCTATAAAAATCAGACATCCAGCTCCCCCATGTCGGATGTGAGTCTATGTTTGGCATAACGGTTCCGGGGCCCTTTCTTCCTTTAGCTCTTTGTTCATTGAGGTTTCTGAAGCACACAGGAAGTCAGAAAAAAGAACAGTAACCCACTTCTCCACAGCCTCACCGCAGACAGGAGGCAGCAAGGAGGAGACAGCCAGCGAGAAGGGGACTGTGTGCTGCTCTCCCCAAGCTCTACTGGGGACAGGGAACAAGATGAAGCAGGTGGGAGGGGAATATGTGGGTTATGTCTATACCCCAGTTTTCAGGAGCCCCAGAAGGAACCAAGTTCTACTTTTCTGCTTCTATTAACAGTATTTTCTGATTGTTTTGTGAGTATACACACACACATGCACAAGCTGTAAGATTTTATACTTTGAGTCACATGCAACTTAAACCCCAGAGCGACACTCAGATAACTTGAATACATCACCTTATCTATCTGACCTCAGCTTTTCTCATCTAAAAAGTGAGGGGATTAGGTGAGAGGAATGTTCTTCCACGAAGTCTTGCACATGAATATTTCATACTGTTGTAAGTGATCGTTCAGCTCCTCAAGCGGCTCATTTCTTCATTGTTTGGCTAAAAATACTTCCATACTTGCAGAACCCCCTGAATACCTCGCCATAGCCCTGGATTCCTTTAAGTCTGGGCTAAAGACCCTAGACTAGGATTGATGCTTCCAGGACTGTCTTCTTGGTCTGTAATTCTGGGATCTAAGCTTGTTAGCTATAAGGAAAGACGTTGGTTGTTGAGGGAGATATGGGACAGCGGAGGGAGAAAAGGAGAGGGAGAGGAAAGCAGGAAAGAAAGAAAAAGATAGAAGGAGATACTGAGATACTAAGATTGTAAACTCACCAATGGCAGGAACCAGAGATAAAGGAAATGTCAGATCATTTATTTTTACTTCCGTTGTTTTTACAGGTGAGGGAGGGAACTGAAGTCAGGGATGTTCTCCTCCCCCGAAGTAAATGTCCTGGTACCCACCAGGCATCCAAGTAACCCCTTAAGGACTGACTATGCAGGTGACATCAGGAATAGTGTTCAACAGAGGAGGAGGTTCACATTTTCCAGAACCTTCTCCACCTGCATCCTGATCTTTACCTGTGAAGCATGCTCTTGGGAGAGTCTCCTTCCAGCCAGAGCTAATGTGCCCATCTGTTTAGAAATGCAGTCTCCACTTTAACATAATGGCACCCTTGAGTAAAAATACCCTCCTGTGACACTCACAGTACATGTGACAGAGAGCTTGCAGAGCACTAGCTCTCTGTCTTCTTTCCTCC